ACGGATTCCTTGCTCAGCCCTATATTTTACCATGAGATCAGTTATCTTAGCCCATCTCAAAATCATTGGCATACGCGACATGTATAATTTAAATAAATAAAAATAAAATAAAATAGGGGATGCACCAATAAATCTCAAATTAATAACTTATGCACTGTTTAGTCCTAAAAGTTTTCTTATAGACTGAAAGGTCCCATTACAATGTTAATAACATCAGATACAATGTTAATAACATCAGAGTCATGTTACAAACATTGGATTTCAAACATCTAATGTTCATCAAATTTCAATAATGTTTGAAAATATAGGATGAAAAACATCTAATGTTCATCAGATTTCAATAAATTTTGAAATTATAGAATGAAACATCAGATCATTTACATCATTCACATCATGTTGATGTAAAAATGGGACTAAATGGAGCATAAGAAAACTTTTAGGACTAAATGGTTCAACGTTTCAAAAACTAGGACTTATGGGTAAATTTTCCTATTTATTATATATTATATATCATTTAAATAATAAAAATACATATTTTTTTTATTAAGCGTAATGTCTAAATTAAAGTTTGAATCTCGCTCTTACTATATATATTTTTGCTTTTAAATAGAAAAATTAAGGTTGCGTTTAGTAAAATTTTAAAATTATGATTTGAGAATAGGGTTATATTTTGAGATTGTGAGTTTTGAAATTACGATTTGAATGTAAAAAATTTATTTGATTATGAGTTTTGAAAAGAGTTTTGAAATTAGTTTTAAACCAAACACATAACCCAAAATTCTATTCAAAACTTATAAAAAATTTAAAAACCATTCAGAAAATATTTTTTATTTAAAATATAAAAATAACAAGTGCCAAAAAAAAAATTTGCTCCAATCAACCAGCCGGACGACTAGTCAGACGTTCGGGAGACATCTGAGAGGAAGGCCGAGTAAATATATTTTCAAAAGTGGGTATGACATTAATTTTTAAAAATTCTAACCAAACATAGAACTCAAATCAAGGTATAAAATTACGTTTCAAAAACATAACCAAACACAACCTAACACTTTGCAGCATAAGAATAGAAAACTTGAGAATGTCACTAATGTGTTTACTTTATAATAAGGAAAATCCTACCAAGTGTACCTAGATATTGTATAAATGTTGGGAAGTATGCAAAAGTAATTTGAAAATATTAGAATATATTTAAAGGTGTAAGGGTCCGTTTGGGAAGAGCTATTCCAGACTTTTTTGATTATTTTAATCACAAAAAATAAAATATGTTATTTTAGTCACAAAAAACAAAAACATCACATCCAACCCATAATCATTACACTATTCTCTCACAAAAAAAGTCAAGAAAGTCAAAAGGCCAAAAAATCCTTCCTAAACCAAGCTTTTTAGCTCATATTAAAATAGTTAAAAAATTCAAAAAGTTAAAAAGTCAACCCACTTCCCAAACGGATGTAGGAGTCATCAATGGACTAGGGCTGAGTAAGGAATCCGTGAAATCCGTAATCCGATCCAGTCCAATCTAATCCGATAGGTTTGGATTGGTTTTTTGAATCCGTGGTTCGGTTCCGGATTGAAGAATTAAAAATCCGTAGTCCACGGATTGGTTCCGGATTGAACTCCACGGTTCCGGATTGGAACCGATCTGGACCGTATACAAATAGTCTATATTTTTATTATACATCCTCCCCCATAGTATCTTCTCTTATTCCATATAAAACATAAACTCAAACCTAAACCTGCATAATATCTCCTTTTATTACTTTTGTTTGTTAGTTTTTAATTTTAATTTGTAATGGCCTAAATACTTATGGTGAAACCAATTTTGTTATGGTTGTTTAAATTCTAGAATAGTATGTCGTTATTATAGAAAGATATGTTGCTATTGTGGAACTAATATGGCGCTATGTTTATATTTGTATGAAATTAAAGTGTTATATATATATATATATATATATATATATATATATATATATTTTTGTTATTTAATTATGTGAATCCGTGGTCCTAAACCGATCCAATCCGTATTTAAATGGATTAGTTCGGGTTGGTTCCAGGATTTAAACGGATTGGATTGGTTCTAATTTTTCAAGAACCGTAAATAACGGATTGGTCCTGGTTTTACCCTAATCCGGTCCAATCCGGACCATGCTCACCCCTACAATGACGGGTCGAGGCTACCCAACTCATAATTATTGTGTCCAAATTTTATATTTTAATAGATTTTTTGAGTTTTGATCAGTCAACGAGTTAGTATGAGTTAGACTTAATTAAAAAAACTAAAATCACATCCAACTCATAAACCCAAATCTTACTGGTCAAAATCAAACCGAACCGAGTTACATATTTTTCACCATACTTATATTATTAAGTTAGACACATTTTTTATTCACATATTTTTAATATTTTTCTTAATTATTTTTCTTATTTACTTTCCAAACATAATTCAAATATTTTGATTTTTTTTAAACCTTTTTGCATCATATATAATCTAAAAACAATCAAGTGACATATAATACTTACAAGCGGCGGGAAAAAATGAAATGAAAAAAATAAAAATTTTAAACATAAGAACAAAAAAGAAGAGGGAAATTTAACAAAACCATTACATTGGACCATTGTTTGGTGAAAAGGACAACTTAATTTATTTTATTTCATAAATTCTCTAGAGATGAGGCATATAATTGAGCAAGGATAACGTAAAATATTGTCTCTTTTTTTTTAGACACTATTACCAAAAAATATGTTACTGTGAATCAAAGTATTATGTTACTGTGAGACAGAGTAACATAACAGTAACATATTACTGTCAAACAAAGTAACAAGTTACTGTTTACATCAATTTCGATGATACTAATTTTTTTATATTTTTTAAGAATTTCATAGTCAAATGAATCTTATTTGATAGATCCTGATGAAAGAATTATAAAAATATGAATTTATAAAAAACCGTCATTTAGATCAAAAGTTATATTATTTTAAAGTTTAATATTTTGGTAATAGTGATTTGTGTTGGATTTTTCAAGAAAAACATTTCATGTTTGTCCTTAATGCATTAAATTTTTACTAAAAAAAATCAAATTAAACATTAAACTTAAAAAAATTAAACTAAATATTAGACTTACCCATGTGAGTACTTACGTGCCAGGTTTATAGGTAGACTCAAGTCATAAACCTTTGTCCAAATCCTAAATCATCTTTTATGAGATGGGATGGGATGGGCACTCAAACGGGTTGGAACGGGCCATGGGACGGGTTGGTCAGGTTGGGTAATATCAGATTTTTTTTGTCAGTGAGTCATTTAGGAACCCCTAAGTGTATTGATTTAGTAAAAAATGTTTTGTGTTTTTCAATTTTTATTTTTTATTTTTATTGTCAAAGATAGTATTGGCATATTAGTATAATTAGATTACAATTGAAAAATTCACCGTTGTTCCATTAATTTAAATCTCTGACCTCCCACTCATTACATCATAAGATGTAACTACTAGACCATTAGATTGCACCCCAATATTTTTTTGTCTCTTACTTGTTCCTTAAGGATACTTGTTAGTAAGACTCTTATAATAATATGAGAAATACTATGTTACACACCCTTTGAGTGTATATTTTATGTACCTTATAACTGAATAAGAAAATAATATAACTCTATACTTTTTGAGTTATAACTATAAAAAAAAAATTATAACCAAATATCACATGAAATATAACCAAAGATTTTATAAAACATAATTAAAATAATATCACAATTAAATAAAAAAAATTAGTTATAACTAAAAAAAATGACAAAATTATAAATGCATATGAGGTGTTTTGGGAAGTTAGTAAAAAGTTATTTTTTTGACTTTTTAAGCTTATTTTGTTTTTTTGTGAATAAGTTATGTGAGAAGTGATTTGACTCAAAATGAATAAAAAATTAAAAACTGACTTTTTATCAACTTCCAAAAGACTCTTATGATACACCCTTTCAAAAGGAATGTATGGTAGAATTTCTCATTAAAAAATTAAAAAACTCCAACTGATTCATTACAGTAATCTCTCTCTCTCAAATGAACCCATCAGCACATTCTGCTTATCTTTAGCAAGCGACGTCATCATTTACAATCATTTATGCTTATATGGAATCATGGATATGGACCTGATTGCTGAACTGGTCTCTCAAATTACCCATCTTTATATAACCAGCTGACTCACTGAGTAACATGCAGACCGAGTTGCTTAACCAGGGTTGGTCGCCTGGTGGAGAATATAGTGTATTCCCTACCATTGAGCCAGGGTCGACTCCTGAGAGGGGGTGTTTGAAATCTCTTCACGAGAACACGCCCTATACTCTCCTCAACAACATGTCCTCTGCTGGGGCATGTAGTTGCGCTCTATTAGTGCCTTAGTGATGGCTCCCCCACTTGATGGGGGTTAATTTCTGACTGACAATCGATTATTCCAAGATCAGGGCCACGGGGCCGTAATGACACCTCAAAGCCCTTTTTTCCCAGATCAAAAAAAAAAAAAGATTTCAGTTTCCTCCATTACGCTACACTACTAGTTATCTCAAGTTCTTTACCCTTTTTCTGTTTCAGAAAATTCTCTGGTTTCCCAGAAAAAAAAAAAAAAAAAGATGAAGAAACAAACAACAAAAAGCGGAGGTGGTTTCTGATCATCAAAACCCAATCTTTAAAAACAGCAGCCCTTTGACAACTGCACCTAATTCAAACCCACTTGCCTCCAGTTTCAAATTGAGATTCTCCTCCTTCACTTTCTCATTCATCTATATTATTTTATTTATATATCATATACTATACATTTCTTTATTTCAGTTTCTTCTATTGATTCAAAACCATACTTGTGGGGGCAAAGAAAGAGTATTTTATTTTTTTTGTTTCTTTCTTTTTTTAGTAACTCGGTCTAGACTGTTGAAATGGAAGTGGCATACACTTTCTCTTTCATTTTCTTGGTGGGTTTTCTTTTCTTTCAAGCAACTTCAATTCAAACCCACTTGCCTCCAGTTTCAAATTGAGATTCTCCTCCTTCACTTCCTCATTCACCTATATTATTTTATTTATGTATCATATACTATACATTTCTTTATTTCAGTTTCTTCTATTGATTCAAAACCATACTTGTGGGGGCAAAGAAAGAGTATTTTATTTTTTTTGTTTCTTTCTTTTTTTAGTAACTCGGTCTAGACTGTTCAAATGGAAGTGGCATACACTTTCTCTTTCATTTTCTTGGTGGGTTTTCTTTTCTTTCAAGCAACTTCAATTCTCATTGAAGATAAGCAAGCTTTGATTGATTTTGTGAACAGCCTCCCTCACTTGCGTTCACTCAACTGGAATGAGTTCTCATCCCCTGTGTGCGGCCACTGGACTGGCATTACTTGCAGTGAAGATGGGTCTCGAGTTATAGCCGTCCGATTGCCCGGAATCGGATTTCGCGGTCCGATTCCACCCAACACTCTCAGCCGCCTCTCTTCTCTGCAGATCTTGAGCCTCAGATCCAATGCTATCACTGGTCCTTTTCCTCCTGATTTTTACAGCCTCACCAACTTATCATTTCTCTACCTTCAGTTCAACAAGTTTTCGGGTCCATTGCCTTTGAATTTCTCTGCTTGGAACAATCTAACTATTGTTAATTTATCAAACAATGAATTCAATGGTAGTATACCCAATTCTATATCGAATCTAACCCATCTCACAGCTCTGAATCTTGCTAACAACTCCATTTGGGGTGAAATTCCTGATCTCTATTTGCCAAATTTGAAGCAAATCAACTTATCCAATAACAAACTCACTGGCATTGTTCCCAAATCACTTGAAAAATTTCCGGGTTCAGCGTTCATCGGTAACAATATTTCGTTCGTTGATTCTCCGGTTGTTTCATCTTCTCATCAACCCAACTCGAAATCCAAAAATGTTGGGAAACTAAGTGAAGCAGCATTACTAGGGATTATAGTTGCTGCTTGTGTTCTTGGGTTAATTGGGTTTGTTTTCTTGTTGCTTGTTTGGTGGTTAAGAAAAAGAAGTGAAGATGTGTTTTCAGGGAAATTGAAGAAAGGAGAATTGTCCCCTGAGAAGGCGATTTCACGGAGTCAAGATGCGAATAACAGATTATTTTTCTTTGAGGGTTGTAACTATGCATTTGATTTGGAAGATTTACTCAGGGCTTCTGCTGAGGTTTTGGGAAAGGGAACATTTGGGATTGCTTATAAGGCGGTTCTTGAGGATGCGAACACGGTGGTGGTGAAGAGGTTGAAGGAGGTGAGTGTTGGGAAGAGGGAATTTGAGCAGCAAATGGAGGTTGTTGGGAGTGTCAAGCATTCGAATGTGATTGAGCTAAGGGCGTATTACTATTCGAAAGATGAGAAGCTATTGGTGTATGATTTTTATAGTCGAGGGAGTGTTACTGCAATGTTACATGGTATGCTTTCTTCAATCTCACTAGTTTTCACAAGTTAAAATAACACTTCAGTTTTTGCTTTTGTTTGCTTTAAAGAACAGCTTCAGTTATATTTGCTATAGAATTAGATCATCAAACCAGGAAACTGTCTGTTGGTTTTTCTGTATGCATAGCATAGAGGGAAGAAAATCATGGCAATATAAATCATCTGTGAACTTGGAATTCAAAATTTTCACTTCATTGAAAATGGAAGATAATAAACGGTTTCAGATAATGAACAATTTCTCTTATACCTTAGCAATATGAACATAACAATTTTGAGGATAGTGATAATGATACTGTGGAATAGTGTGAATCGAACCTTAAATTCCACCAAAGTTTCGGTTGTAATGCTTGCACCAATAAGGCAGTAGACCATATATCCAAACGGAGCCTTGAAGTTTTCAATGACTGCAGAGTTTGAGCAATCCTTCTAATTCATTTGTAATATGGCAGGCAATAGAGGGGATGATAGAATCCCATTAGATTGGGAAACCAGATTGAGAATAGCTATTGGAGCAGCCAGAGGCATTGCTCGGATCCATGTCGGGAAGCTTGTTCACGGCAACATAAAGTCCTCAAATATCTTCCTCAACTCCCAACATTACGGTTGCGTGTCAGATCTCGGGCTGTCAACAATAATGCGACCACTAGCACCACCTATTGCCCGTGCTTCTGGTTATCGAGCCCCAGAAGTAACAGACACTCGGAAATCATCACAACCGTCTGATGTCTACAGTTTCGGTGTCCTGTTACTGGAACTCCTCACTGGCAAGTCCCCTATCCACACGACAGCCACTGATGAGGTCATCCACTTGGTTCGGTGGGTCCACTCAGTAGTCCGAGAAGAATGGACTGCTGAAGTGTTTGATACTGAGCTATTGAGGTATCCAAATATAGAGGAAGAGATGGTTGAGATGTTACAAATAGCATTGGCATGTGTAGTGAGGATGCCAGATCAGAGGCCAAAAATGGTGGATGTAGCGAGAATGATTGAACGTGTCCGGCATACTGATTATGAGAATCGACCATCTTCTGAAGCCAAATCTGAAAATTCAACACCGACATAACTTGTTTCGGGGTTGGAATCCTCAACCCCACGATGAGCGAATCCTTGTGTGTTTGTGTTTGTTTCTATCGTCTCAATAGGTGTCGAAATGTTGGTTGTTTCTTTCACAATCTTGGTGAACATAAGCATAATTATGATGTTTTAGAAACATGGGAATTTAACAGATGGTGGTGGTGTTGTGTGACTCTTTATAATTATGGTAAATATTGTGGTTCATTGGCTTGTTTGAACAGATTGTAGGACACCATCATGAATGGTGATTTAAGTAGTTGCAAGAGATATTCTTAGTCCAACTATATTTGCAAATACTTGTGATTTTTTTTTTGGTTTAAATGAGATGTGTAGTCCCATTTCCAGTGAGCAGTTATGGATGTTGTTGGGATAATTTTTGTGAATGGACAGAGACAGATGAATTTTAAGAGGTTAATGGGATGAATTTTAGTGGCCACATCAGTAGTTATTTGTGTTGAAGCATTTAATGGGAGTATAAGAGCAGTTCTAATACTTGAGACATTTCGCCTATCAAAAGTATATGAAAAATATATTTTTATGAAAAATTTTAAACATCCATAAAATTTATATAAAAAATTTGACAAAAATGATATGGTAATATCGATATTGTAAATAAATCCATCTTTAACGGTATTTTATTTTCAAGTAAAAGATCTACAATTAGTCAGATTATTATGTATGAATTTTTTATTTATATAACATTACTAATTTTTATTTTTCCTACTCACTTTAAGGACTATTTTGAAAAGATGATTATAATCAATTTTTTGATTAAAAATTACTTATAAGTAACTTTTTTATGACAAAAAAATAAGTTATAATATGAAAAGTAAATTATAACACACTACTCAAAAGCCTAAGTAATGTATACTATAACAATACTTTGTAGTTAGCCACGTAGGTACTCAAAAAGAAAAAGCATTTGCCCAACCTCTCTTGACTTGAGCAAGGATCCTCTAGAGTGATTTTTCTTTAAAGTTTCCTAAAGTGCTACAGTGTATGGTTGAGATTTACTGGCAAGTCACATCAATTTTTTTGATGTGACTTGCTAGTAAATCTCAACCACACAATATAGTACTCTAGGAAACTTTAGAAAACTTTCACTCTAGAGGATCCTTGGTGTCTTGACTTTCTAATTGTAGCTAGCTCCCTTACTGATGAGAGGCATAATATCTAATGTATTATCTAGTCCGTTGAAGAATTGAAATTTTGATTTGACTCAGTAAAATTGCTAACAAATACAATATAAAAAGCCTGTTAGAGTTTCTCTAAGGCACCGTCTGGGAAGTAAAATTGAGACTATTTTAGTCACGTCCAGATAAATTAGGCTTATTTAGTCACGTCTAGACAAAACAGAAATCAATGTGTTGGGTTTAATTCTTTGTGGGGTAAATTTATCAAAATACCTGAAAAGAGAAGAAGTTATTCTTGGCATTGTTCCCTCAGCGTGACTTTTGGGGTACTGACCCTCTGTTACTATTTTTTGACATGGAAGGATTTTGGATTTTTTTTTCCCCCTAAAATAATCATAAAAGAATAAAAATAAATTTTTTAATTCGATAAAATAAAATATTATATTAAGAGACTGTTTAGGGTATCTTAAATAAGTATACTTTTTATCTTTTTTGACTACAAAATTGAAAAAAAATATATATTAATATTTGGGTTAACTTTTTGATTTTTTATGAAAAAATATGTATTAACAAATTGTATAAATTAGTGTGTAGGAAAAAATTTTAAAAAAAGAATGACAAAAATACGGCTCATCCAAAAAAAAATTAAAAATATTTTAATTTTTTTGTTATGTATTTGGTTATGATTTCAGTGTAGACTTCTGAAAGTAGTATGGAGTTTCAAGTTATGTGTTTGGTTATGAGTTTTAAAAATAATTTATTAATTGAGTTTTATTTTATGTGTTTGGTTACGATTTGAGTGTAGAGTTGTTTTTAAATTTAAAATATTACCATTTTAAATTATTTAAATTTTTTGAATATTTAAATTATTTAAATTTTTACGACTTAAATTTTTTGAATATTTATTTTAATTTTTCCTTATTAAATTTTTTAAATTATTTAAATATTTATGATTTAAATTTTTTGAATATTTATTTTGAAAAAAAAATTATTTCCTTTGTAGTATTTTCAATTGAAAAATTAATTAATGTTATTTTCTGTTAATAATAAATTTTTTAATTGAATTTTAAAAAGAATTTGTTTATGAGTGCTGATCAGAATTTTCAATAATGTGAAAGTAGTATGTTTTGTTATGAGTTACAACAATTTGAATTAAATTTTGAAAACTCTTTTCAAAACTCGTAACCAAACAAATTTTCTTACTTCACATGTCAAATTAAACTTTCAAAACTCAATTCCACACTCAAAATGTTATTGTATACCAATAAAAATAAATAAGACAAAAAACGTAAATTAAAAAAAAGAACTAATTAATGTATAAAAAAATAAAAATGACAAAAACATAAATTTAAAAAAAAATAAAAAAATAAAGCAAAATACGGCAAATCCAAACCCAAAATAAAAAAATAAAAAAATAAATATTTTACCAAAATATGCCAAAATAAAACCCAAAATAAAAAAAATAAAAAAATTTAAGCAAAATACGCCAAATCCAAACCCAAAATCAAAAAAAAATAGCAACAAAAGCCAAATCCAAACCGAAAATAAGAAGAAGAAAAAAAAAAAAAAAAAAAAAAAAACAACAACAACAACAACAAGGGCACTTTGGTAAATGAACAGGAAGACACCTCACTAAAAAGTCAAAAAGTCAAAAAAGTCAAAAAACTCTTCCCAAATCAGGCTTTTTAGCCCCAGGTTAAAATAGTCAAAAAAGTCAAAAAGTCAAAAAGCCAACCCACTTTCCAAACGGAGGCTAAGTGTATCTCTAATGATTGGATAGGTAAAGAGCACATTACTTCTATAATTTAGCAAATAAATAATGTTAAAATGCTCTATTTTAGTAACATTGCTTCAATTAATGTAAATTTTTTATTTCTTGCAGAAAATATTAAATTAAAATGCTGTATGTGAACCCTGAAAGAAAGATATAGACATAAGTCTTTGTTACAATGTTTATATATAAGTAATATATTATAAATCATGTGTGAAGACAACGAATATTAATAGCAAGCCATATAGGATACTCCAGTGGAGAAGTTCTAAAATTTCAATCCTTAATGCTGTGTTTGGTTGAGGGATTTGGGGAGAGATTTGGAAAGAAAAAGGAAAAAGGTGTGTGAAACTATGTGAAATATAGGCATGATTTATTCACATTTCACCTACCATTTCCATTTCCCTTTCCAAATCCCTCCCCAAATCTCCCAACCAAACACAGCATAAGTCTCTGTTTGGTTAGGATATTTGAAGATGGATTTAGAAAGAGAAATGGAAAACGTAGGTGAAATGTAAATAAAATATACTTATATTTCACTTAATTGCACATATATTTTCCTTTTCTCTTTCATTTTTCAAATCCCTCTCCAAATCATGTTGGCTGTCCATTTTAATGGACTTTAGAAGACCAGAAATTAGGCCTTTTATGGGCCACAAATTTTAGACCTAACAGTGTCAATTTGCTAAAGCTTTTTGAAGCCTTTGAGGCAATTTGAGGACCCAATTGGACCTTTAGCTTGGGGCCTTACAAACGAAAATTGTTGGGCTGTAACTTTGGGTCTTTTCGATGACTATAATTTGGGCCATGAATTTAAGATGAGTAACCAAAAAAATCTAAAAGGGGAAGAGGTGGGGTGATTTTATTTACACTCAAATAATAACTCCCTACTCCAATTAAAATTTTACAATTTTATTTCTTATTATATCTTAATATAAATTTACTAATAAGAACAATACACATTAAACTTTAAAATAAATTTTTTTTTTCCTTATGGTACACTTTAATCACTTATTGCATATTGTTCATACTCAAATCTCTTTATCTTCTTCTTTAAGTTTCAATTATTTTCTGTTAATCTTTTTCCTCACTTTAAAATTATGATCCATCCCACCAAAACTAACCGTTATTATCAACACCATTATTTCTTATTGTATTATTTCTTACAAATAAAAAAATTGGAATAGAATCAATGGATGAAAATCATAATCAAATTTCTAGTTTTGGTTCCAGAGCTGCCATGGCTCCCAAAGGGAGGTCTCTAGAAAAAACACTACACCCAAAAAACACAACATTGATCTTAGAACTGGGCATCACTGCTAACAATGGCAATAGAATAAAGGTTCACAATTCTTATTAGTATCCAAAAAGAACTTTGCTGCGTAACTCGAATTTGAGTTTAGCCCGAATGGCTCGAATTTCATTTAGCCAGTCATCCACTTAGTCGACCCACAGATCGTCCGGTGGAAAGGCTAACAGTCGCGGTCGACAAGGTAACAATCGCGGTAAACAAGTGTTTCACCCCGGTCGTCCGAGTAATCGTTCGACCAGTCGATCTGTGAACAGTAATTCGAGCCATTCAGGGTAGCTCAATTCAAGCTACCAAATATTTTCCATCCAAAAAATTGCCCTTGTAAGCCACCAACAGTTCCTTCGTATGAATAAAACTTGGCTCCGACAAACTCAATACATGAATAAAACTTGACTCCTACTTCAATAGCGACGGGGGTTGGGAGTTTGCCGTTGTCATTCTCCTTTTATCAGCGTTTCCATTCTCTGTATGTGAATATAAAAAATAAAAAATAAAAGGTAATTTGAATTGATTTGTTTAATTGGGTGTTCCACAAATTATCATTTTATTTTGAATGGTAATTTGTGAAAAAAACATAGAATGTATTGAAAGAAAATTATAATTCTAAATAATTTAGTAGAGTATTGAGAAATTAGAGGTAGTGAATAATTTTTTATGTACAAATAGAATCCTTGAAGAAGTGGATGGGTGGTGATCCTACATAAGACCCACTTTCTTAGAAACACTAAAAGGTTATTGAAAATTTGAAAATTATTTTCACATAAAGGTGGAAACAATATGCAAATGATGGGTGTGTTTGAAATTTTCATTTAGAATTGGATAGGACTGGACATAAGATTATCTAACTCGCGAAAACCACCCAACTCGAACTGCCTGCACCTATTTGGACATTTTCGCAGAATTGTTAGGATCGAATGTGATTTAAGATTTTTCTATTTTATAAGTTGCAGGTGGGTCACGGGTTTTTCCCACCTACACTCACCGGCCCGCACCTGTATACAATATATATGTGTGTGTGTATTTTTAAATTTGGACCATCAGATTTTCTTGTAAGTTTTGTGTGTA